CGCCAGCATTTTTGAAAAAAGTTGCCAGCCACCGCCAGCAATTTTGATGATTTTCACTAAAATTTGATGGCCTCCAGTATATTTTGCTGTATGAATATTTGAATATGCAATACACTAAAACAAAGACCAGAGCCTCTAAAAAAATCAGAAAAATCAGTTTTATTCTAGCTTAAAGCATTCTTTTTTTTATCAACACTTGAATATAGGTAAAAAAATCAAGTACGATTATCAAAGCATAAATCCAGTAAATTGCTTCCATCAACACCTCCAAAGCTTGCACAGACATATACCACTTCCCGGATCAACATTTCACTCCGTAACATTATGCAGTTTTCATTTATATGCTGTCTATTTCTGATGATCGCATTATTTTTCATATGCATCTGTTTACATAAGAGATCGCTCGTTTCTCCATCCTGTTCACGTGTGTTTTTGTTCGGGAGGTTTTGTACTCGTTCAGAAGATGTGTAATAGCGCCCCCCCTCCCCAAATCATCTTTAAAGTTGTTCAAATGAAGTTCTTAGCAATGCATATTACTAATCAAAAATTAAGTTTTGATATATTTACGGTAGGACATAGAAGGCATAAAAGAGAAATGTATAATTTTGACCCATACAATGTATTGTTGGCTATTGCTACAAATATACCCCAGCGACTTAACACTGCTTTTGTGCTGCAGGGTCACATTTATATATTTAAAATAAAACACAGGTTTAGGCTGAATTGTGTGCTCAGTAGAGCCAGCGGACTCACTTTGTAGGAGAAGTTGAGGAGGATGTAGTCCATGCCTTCCTTTTCCTTCAGCACTTGCAGGTCGCTGTGTAAAGGACTGTCAGGATCCCCACTGAGCACAACACACACACACACACACACACACACACCTTCAGCTCTCCCGAAACTCTGCCAAGCCTTACACTTCAGCACAGGGCTGGGCCACACCACCAAAAACACTTCACACTGCGTTTCTTCATATCAGCCAATACTGATCATTCTCATGATAAATGCCAAATCTTTATCTCTTTCAAGGCTAAAGGCAGATTTCTTCTGCGGAGCAAAAGACCGAAAGACCAGACAGTTCATTGTGGTTTTAAACGACTCTTTTCCTTCTTTGTCAGAACATGACGAACACTTGCCAAACAGGTCAACATTTCACAAATCTGAGCTACAATATTCAAAACATTTATAATACAATATTTTTTCTACATCGAAATTTGCACGAGTAAACTGAAGTAAAATCCTTTTCAGCCTTTTTTCCTTAAAACATCTTAACAGAGAAATCGATTTCTTAGTATCTGCATCTTCTAACGGCTGATATGGTTTCAATTTATGTCAATTTATGTTCATTAACAAAAACAGCAACATCTGTAAAAACGGTAACTACCTCATATTTATAGGGTAAAATTGAAATATTCTGACTGTTTGAGTTTTATTAGAATTAACCACTGGTCATTTACAGCATCACACAACTAGATCATGCTAACCAAGGGTAAAATAAAGCAATAAGCTCCGTGAAGCCGTGGCTTACAGTGAATTTATAACAGCTAAGGGGTGTTGTTAGGTATGACGCGAAGCGGAGGCTTATTGCTTTTATAAAACATTATTCCATATAGAAGCCGTGGTTTACAGTGAATTTATAACAGCTAAGGGACGTTGTTAGGCTCGACGCGAAGCGGATCTTATTGCTTTTATAAAACGGTTATTCCATATACGTAGTTAGGTTTCACAAAATAAAGTGTAATGATATTAATAAAAACAGTATTCTTCCACCAAACAATGTAGTTCCTCAGAAACAGTTGTGGTTGCAACAAAGTAGTTGCCGAGCAACACACAAAAGTAAACAAAGGTGTGTTACTTTGTAGAGTAATTTACAACAGCTTCGAACGCGGCTCAGCCAATCAGAATCAAGCACCGGAACTATCCGTTTTATAACTATAGTATTTGTATGAAAAACAGCAGCCTAAATACATGCAGTATAAATACAAAAGCACAAATGCTGTAGCTTAATAACAACCATTACTCCTTTAATACTTGTCTACATGAATAATCTAATAAAATTCCACATTTCTGCCACAATAACACGGTGCACTCAGTGTTACTACAGTAAATGCATGGAAAGCGTGTGCTGCATGTTATCATTCTATCCAGGGCAAAATATATCGTGATAATTATGGTTATCATTTGAGCGCCCAGCAATACTTAAGCAGTAATGTAAAGCCCAGAGGAAGGGTGACTTACGTCCTGAGCTTCACGTGCCACTCGTACAGGCTGTCGTTGACCAGCTCCACAGAGTAGATGCCTGGAAAAGAGACTAAATCAGATCAGAGCGTCGCGCCGGTCGTTCCAGTCGCTCACAGTCACGCTACTTTACCGTTTTTATAACTCTGAGATCGGTAGATCTCCCTGAGCTCCTTCATGAGGCGATCCGACGCTTGAACAGATCCAGACACGGCGCCCTACAGGACCCGACAGAACACACCCCGTCAGACATAAGACAGACAACGTACAGGTGAACTCAAATCAATCCACACAACTCCAGCTCAGATCAATGACAAACCGAGAGAAAGTCTGGGGAGATACTTATAATGTAAGCTTTGTGACCTTTTCAAATGATTTTTATTAATAAAACAGAAAAGTTCATCTTGAAATTCAGTGAAATTACCTCAAGGGGAATGTGAAGCGCTATTGATTATGATATTGTCATTATTGAATTATATCTCCAAACTGCTGATTAGGGTTGCAAAAAGGTGGAAAATTTCCAGTAAATTTCGGAAATATTCCAGAAATTTTGGAAACTTTTCAGGATTTTTTTGAATATTCCAGGGATTTTTGGAAAGTTTCCGGAAATGTTCCAACCCTTTGCAACCCCACTGCTGATGGGCAAATGTTATTTAATGCATGCTAGCTTATATAGTGAAATCAAGATTAAAACACTAAATAGTTCAAATGCCCCTCAGGTTGTGTTCGGGTCAATCACATTGGACTAAGATTTACTGACTTTGTTCACACAGGGATTCAATCTTTTTGTCAACTAGTTTTCCTTTAATCAGGACTGGTTTTGTATTTAATTTTGATACCAACGGATTGTAGGCCTTATTCATCTTGGCTCTATTGGTCAAAAATGACCATCCATTGAAAATGAATGAGGGAGATTGGAAAACTGAGAAATATTTAGTGTTCAGAAGCATGTTGATCATGTTCATGTTCACATATGTATTTGTGCCTGCAAATACACTTCTCCAAAAATGAAGGGAACACTTAAATCACATATTGGATCTCAATGAATGAAATACGCAATTTAAAAATCTTTATTTATATACAGTCTATATGTGACAACAGTCAATGGAAACCTAAAAAGGTAAAAAAATTATCCCAAAATGTTTTGGGTAGTTGTTATAGCATGTCTGAGAGAAATTATGGAAACTTATCAGGATTTTTTTGAATATTCCAGGGATTTTTGGAAAGTTTCCGGAAATGTTCCAACCCTTTGCAACCCCACTGCTGATGGGCAAATGTTATTTAATGCATGCTAGCTTATATAGTGAAATCAAGATTAAAACACTAAATAGTTCAAATGCCCCTCAGGTTGTGTTCGGGTCAATCACATTGGACTAAGATTTACTGACTTTGTTCACACAGGGATTCAATCTTTTTGTCAACTAGTTTTCCTTTAATCAGGACTGGTTTTGTATTTAATTTTGATACCAACGGATTGTAGGCCTTATTCATCTTGGCTCTATTGGTCAAAAATGACCATCCATTGAAAATGAATGAGGGAGATTGGAAAACTGAGAAATATTTAGTGTTCAGAAGCATGTTGATCATGTTCATGTTCACATATGTATTTGTGCCTGCAAATACACTTCTCCAAAAATGAAGGGAACACTTAAATCACATATTGGATCTCAATGAATGAAATACGCAATTTAAAAATCTTTATTTATATACAGTCTATATGTGACAACAGTCAATGGAAACCTAAAAAGGTAAAAAAATTATCCCAAAATGTTTTGGGTAGTTGTTATAGCATGTCTGAGCAAAGTCAGCAAGTTAAAGTCCAAAGCAATTAACTAGCATTTTCAGGAAAAAGAAAATCATCTCCAGGTTAAAATGACTGAACATTAAAATCAGTTACACGACATATTTGACAGAAGTGACTTAATCTTTGACAACTCTGCAGTCATGATTAGAGTGAACAAGGTCTTACAGAAGCAATAATGTGTGCGCCATTTACATTTCTATACATTTCAGATTCAAAACAGCAAAGTTCACCAGAAGGCGAGTAGTTTGCACGCCTGAACACTTCAATCAACATTTCATTTAGAGCTGTGCAATTAATCCAAATACAGTTTCGATTTCGATCAACAATTATGAAAATACAATAATTGAGATAAAGTGAACGTTAAGTGAACGCAAGCAGTTGAGAATGTAAATACGTGTGTAACAGTAAATGGGATCCGTGCGTCTCTTAAAGTGACAACAGCCTAATATTCCTGCTGCGACTGTGTGCTTAATATTAAACCACAAAAGACGGAGCAAAAATCACTCACTGCTCTCGACTGAAGGACTTTTGTAGCTTTAATGAGAAACAAAGGCAGTTTGATTCTTACAGAGAAGACTATGCTGTTTTATTTTTCGTTCGATTATTCCGTTTCTGTAATAGCTGAATACTTTAGACTTATTATTTTATTACTGACCGTTTAATTATTTGAGGACTTTTTTTTTTACTAATATGAGTTACCCTAGTATTCTGCTGCGGTGTTGAGAATTGTGAATTTTCGCTAGTCTCTAAAATGTAGATGTCATCGCAACCTTATTTACAGAAAATAGATGTTTGATATACGTGACCCTAAAGCACAAAACCAGTCTGAAGGGTACATTTTTCAAAACTGAGATTTACACATCATCTGAAAGCTGAATAAATCAGATTTGTTAGGATAGGGCAATATTTGTCTCAGATACAACTATTTGAAAATCTGGAATCTGAGGGTGCAAAAAAATCTAAATATTGAGAAAATCATCTTTAAAGTTGTCCAAATGAAGTTCTTAGCAATGCATATTACTAATCAAAAATTAAGTTTTGATACATTTACAGTAGGAAATTTACAAAATATCTTCATGGAACATGATCTTTACTTAATATCCTAATGATTTTTGGCATAAAAGAAAAAATCAATCATTTGGACCCATACAATGTATTGCTGGCTATTGCTACAAATATACCCCAGCGACTTAAGACTGCTTTTGTGCTCCAGGCTCACATATATCGCTGTCTTTAAATAAATAATTTAATTATTTCATCATCATTCACTCTGACATCAAACCGAACCTCTTGCATCTAATCAGGACTGTGAGACAAAAGCCTCTATTTGAAACATAAGGAAAGTCCCTTACCGAGTGAGCACTTACATTCAAGTGGTCCTGCCGCTGGTTCTTGCGGATCTTCTCCAGGATGGCCAGGTTCTCCTTCTCGATCCCATCATCCTCAGACTTCTTCCCATCCACCGGCTCCTCCTCTTTCATCTCGTAGTGCTCCAGATCGATGTCCTGCTGACACACACAGACGCACACACACACACGTAAAGAGAGACGCTCACGAGCTCACAGAAGACAGGAATAACGTGAGAGAAACAGACAAGAACCTCTGCCATCTCCTCTTCCTCCTCCTCCTCTGATGTGACCTCATCTTTCATCCCAAGCTACGGGAGAAAACATTCCTGTTAAACCACAGCAGAAACACAGGGGACCCTAATATTTTTGCATGCTATTCAAAAGAACAATGTTGTGTAACATATATTTTCATAATCATACTTCAAAACACGCTATCTTCTGAAACTATCTGTCTTTTGTGCTCACGTGAAGGATGCACATATCAAAACCTCACATCCTGATCCTGCACCACATCAATTCATGCTAAATATTCACTTTATCTGTAAACTCTTGCACTGCGGCTATAAGGAACGTCATTATTTGTGTGCGTTTAAGTGGCTGCAGCAAAAAGTCAACTGGAATCTGCAGGCCAAATATAAACCTACCACATATTCTGTAATTTAAGCTTTTTTTGTATCATCTGAAATGTGCTGCGAGAGACTTATATAATGCATTTAACATTAAGCATGCAAAACAGTTATAAAGTGCACATATTTGGATCGGTGCCGAATGAGAAAGATTCATATTCCCTCGCGGGCCATTCTACAGAACTGGTGCAAACTTATCTTAATATGCATTTAAAAAGCATTTCAGTATTCAAATCTTAGATGTTTACCAAGATCCTATTGAAACCCACAATAATATTTAAAATATCAGTAAGCTTAATATATATAAAATCATCGTTTATTGGGTACTTTCAATTGGGAGGTGGCTGTCCCGAACCCTAACCCCTAAAGTTCAACTTGTGAAAATATTGAAATCATTTTATTCCATTGTTGTTTTTAAAAAATATTTAATGAAATAGTTGAAAAATATTTATTTTATATTTTCTTTGTAAATTATGAACATTTCCGCATTTTCATGTCACTCACTACCGAAACAATAGATGTTTTAGTCTATTGGCTGAGACTGAAATTAACTACACATTTATGATCAGGAAATATTAATGTGTCTCTCTCTCTCATAGCTACAGGTAGATAGCAGATAGGCCTCATCATTTTGAGATAAATGTGTTCAAAAGTCTAAAAATCTGTGTGTAACTGTAAGGAACGTCACTACCAAACACATTTTTTCTGCAATTAAGCACACTTTTTTTGTGAGTTATTCTATATCATTTAATTTTATGTGTGTACAACTGTTCAGCTAACCATGTACTGATTAGCATTTTTGAGATAGGTTCAAAAGTATCTAAAATTGTCACTAGCGAAACACATCTTTGTTTTTTTTTTGGCTGTTATCCCATAAAATTGTCACGACTGAAACATGTCATCAGGACAAAAGGGAACACATAATCCTTTATTTGGGGGAAATACAAATATTTTAGTACAATTATGCAAATATTTAGTATTTTAGTATGTTTTAGTAGTGTTTAGTAGTATGAGAGTTAAAATTCTGTATTGTGATGTGGTCGCTACCAAAGCATTACTGTCACTACTGGAGTTTTTATCAAAAATAAAGCATACTGAATTATTAACTAAGATGTTATGAGAGTGTTTGGTTCAGTGCATATTCAAACTAATGAATCCTTAACTGTGAAATCAGTATGATCAACTTTGTGCCTTTTACAAAGAAAAATTGGATTCAAAATACAACAAATCTCATGAATTACACTTGAAATGTTGTTAAAAATGTAATTATTATTGATTTACTTCTGATTTTTTTTTTTTATAAAAATAGCAAAAAAATATATTTACAATGTAGATGTAAGCAAAATCTTAATAGGTCGATATAACCCTTCCAATTAAATTATTATTACTGTGTTTCGGTAGAGACACATTTGGGGAGAGGAAAAATATTCCAAAACGTTCTGAAAATTCAATATGAGAATTAACTGCGCATGCGTACCTTGGATATTAAACAATTTGCATGCATACTAAATTAGTGGAAAAACACTTTTCTTCAAAGATGTTTCCACCTCTGGCCCTCGTATAGTGCGCTTTACACACTGCTAGTCTCAGTTTTACTTTAAATAAATTCATTTAGGCTTGGCGTTCACAATAATTGTTGCTAATAATGAATGTCTCTATAATTTATGTTTCTTATGTTTACATTTTTCATTCCTGTTTTGTTTTGAATAAAGTTAAACTTAAAGGATTATGTTTTGGAGTGAGAGAAACTACATGTCTATAGTTTTTATGATGGCAAATGTTTCATTTTATACTATATTTCGATGTAATAATAACATGTGACTTACACATGTTTATTTTTTTTATGCAATTTTGACCCGATGCAACTTATAGTCAGGTATGACTTGTTTTCCAGAAATACGGTCCTTGTAATTACATGCATGTGAAATTGTTTCAAGCGTTCATATGAAAGACTAAATTCCATATGCATGTTTGGTTTTTGCCTGAATGAGTATTTAAGAAAGCAAGTGTGACTCAAGCTCAGAGGTTTACCTTTCTGTCCTGGTTGACAGGTCCTGCAGGCAGAGGCTGGTCCAGCATCTCCACATCGGGGTGCTGAGGAAGATTATAGAGGCGGCACAGATCACAGATCAGCCTCTTCAGCTGCTGCAAGAGCTGAAACCACAAACACAGAAGAGCAAGGTCAGAAATGCTCGCTTGGGGCAGGAATTACACAGAACGTGGCAGAAATGGAAGTTGAAAATGTGGGTCAAATATTGACCCTCAATGGAAAAGTTCCTTTCTGATACTGACTGACTTGCTATGAACAGTCAATGAGATACATATCAAGATTTGGTCGCATTTGTCAGGTTAGAATAACAGGACTCTGTGCACACGATCCACTTCCTGTTTAAGTCGTCAGTGCAGGTGAGGCGAGTCTTGCTCAGAACACAACAGGAGCAGATCAAATTTCACTTGCATGTAATGAATATCTGACAGAAAAGGAATAAGGCTTTAAAAGAAGGAAGAGAGCGGCTCTGACACGTTCGCTAACATCTCAACTTAAAAATAGACATAGACTGCTGTGCAAATGTTTGGGGTCAGTAAGATTTTTTTTTTAAAGGAAACTAATACTTTTATTCATCAAGGATGCATTAAATTGATCAAAAGTGACAGTAAAGACATTTTTAATGTGACTAAAGATGTCTATTTCAAATAAATGCTGTTCTTCTGAACTTTCTGTTCATCTGTGAATCCTGAAAAATAAAATGCATCACAGTTTCCACAAAAATATTGTGCAGCACAACTGTTTTCAACATTGATAATAATCAGAAATGTTTCTCGAGCAGCAAATCAGCATATTATACTGATTTCTGAAGATCATGTGACACTGAAGACTGGAGTAATGATGCTGAAAATACAGCTGCGCATCACAGAAATACATTACAGTTTAACACATATTCACATAGAAAACAGTTATTTTAAAGTGTAATAATATTTCACTGTTTTACTGTATTTTTTATCAAATAAATGCAGCCTTGCTGAGCAGAAGAGACTTCTTTCAGAAACGGTAGCCTAAAAAATCTTACAGACCCCAAACATTTAAAAAGTTGTTTTTCCTAAAATAATCTCTTAATAATATTACACCGGTAAATATCTTACTAAATACCAGGCACAGAAGCAGCATTAATGCCCAACAGGCAAAGACTCACTTTATATTAAGTAACATTTAAATTTGATACAATTCATTTGTTGTGTACATACAGCTTGTTTACATGTTTTTATGTTGTACTTGTATTTAAAAAATACCTGCATGTAATTACATCTGTAATCATTTTCTGTAAATACTTAGGCTTAGTTCAGACAAAAATTAATATTCTGTCACCATTTCCACAAAGAACGTAATCGTATCCGTGGAACACAAAAGGAGAACATACCCCAGCGACTTAAGACTGCTTTTGTGCTCCAGGGTCACGTATGGTTTTGGGAAACAAAAGTTGTCTTTTGTGTTTCGCAGAAGGTTTGACACGAGTATAAGTAAATGATGGCATGAACTAATCCTTCGGTCCACACACAGGCATGCAGTCGCTCTAAAAGTGTTAATCTATTATACACAACAAACAGAGCAGACAGAAGCAAAGCTTTAGCTTAAAAGAGCCCAGCTTCTGAAGTGTACGTGATCAGTCTGAGCTCACTCAGTAGTGCACACTCATATTACACCATTTGGTTTGTTGTGTAACGCTCGACTCGATTACAGTGGAGCTAGGCTGGTAATTACTATTTACTGCTGTTCAAAGCATCATGATTACAACACCTGCTCTGCTCTGCAGCACACGGCTATCACTGAGATCACACACATATGGAAGAGATTACTAATTACCTGATTTACTGTCACACACAACCTCCTAATGAGAAGACAAGTTAGATATGACTTAAAGTAAGGAAAGATCTGGATCCTGCAATGAAAGCGCTGGATGATATTACTGCAATATCTTTACCATATGATACGATACTGTTATTCCTCGTGATACTCATTTACTATTAATGGGGAAGGAAATGCTTTGATGTTTGTTAGACCTTGAGAATAAATGGAAATATATCTTGTTTGTTAACAATTAAACTCGGACGAGTAGCTACCTTTTAATTTACAACCGCATTAAATCCAGTTCATTTTCCCCGAAATTCTGTGTTTCACGATTTCACACAAGTTTATCATAAAATTGTGTCAAATGAAATCAATAAATACAACTTTAACAATCTTTTACATTGTAATCAAATGAAAATGTAACTAACCTGCGACGAAACATTGCCGTTTTATTTCTGTCAAATAAGATGCTGCACAACAGAACTGTATAAATTAAAATACGGGACTTTTTTTTATTATTATTAAACAGTGGTTTACTGAACAAATTGCTCTTTCTTTAAATAAATTTAATACATTTTCTTAGGGATAATTTGACCCTCTAACTCTAGCACTTTCTATTCTATTTTAATTCTACTTTATCTATATTTATCTTCTTTTTTGTTTTATTTTTTATTTAAAAAAAAACAACAACAAAAAACTAACAAACACTAGCTTTCTATTTTTTCTATTCTATCTACTTGTTTTTCTTTGTGTGTGTGTATGTGTATAATATATGTATGTATGTGTGTATATATGTATATATATGTGTATATATATATATAACACTGTTTCAGTGAAGATTTTCCTCTCGCTTCGGACTTTAAACCCTGGTTAACAAGCAGATAGCACTGACTCAGAATACATGCAATGCGTGCGTGTATTAGAAAACATAACGTTCTGCAGTTTATTTACTAATTGTTTAAGGCCATTTCGCGATTTCAATCATCGTACAGTAACCAGCAACAGCCACCCCTTCCTCTTCTCATCGGAGACATGAGATGCAGTCCTAAACAGTCTCTCGCTGTCGGTGCTTGTAATGATTTTTGCGTCTTTCTCGAACCGTTTTAAATGCTTCCACACTGCTGACATGTTTGTTGCATTATAAAGAGTGCGCGCCTCTCACTCTACACTGGTTGCTATTTGGTCACGTCATTGTTCGGTACAATTTATTCGGTCTTTTCGCTTATTCGGTTGCTGAACATTCGGTGCATCCCTAGTTAAAACATCGCTGTATTTGTTCTGTACACACGTGCACCCAACCGAAGGATACGTGTACCGTTACACCCCTAATATCGAGTAAAACTGTCCATAAACTGAATCTCAATCTGATATCATTTATTAAGTGCTCCTGTGGCTCAGTGGTAGAGCATTGTGTTAGCAGCGCAAAAGGTCGTGGGTTCGATTCCCAGGG